AATGGAGAAAGAATAGTCTTTTCAACAAATAGTGCAGGGATAACTGGATAGCCACATGTAAAAGAGTGAATGAAATTGGATTCCCACCTCACACCATGCATAAAAATTAACTCAAAATGGATTGGAGAGCTAAATGTAAGAGCTAAAACTATAAAATTCTTAGAAGGAAATAAAGGTGTTCATTTAAATCAGGCAACAGTTTTTGTCTCTTTTAGTTCAGTTCCTTCATTGCTGCCTTCTTTTGTGTTAAATAGATATATTTTGTAGTGTACCATTTTAATTCCCTTGTCATTCTTTTACTATGTATTTTGAGTTATCATCTTAGTGATTGTGCTGAGGATGACAATTAACACCTTAACGTATAACAATCTAGTTCAGATTAACACCAACTTAATTTTAGTAGTACATGAAATGTCTCACCTATATAGCTCCATCTCTCTCCCCCACCCATGATGCTATTATTGTCACAAAATATGACACCAAAAGCATAAACAACAAAAGAAAACAATAGATAGGTTAGACTTCATCAAAATTTAAAACTTTTCTGCATCAAAGGTAGAAGTCTAGGCGCTCTGTGTGCTCTCCGTTGACACCATGGGGAGGAGGACACCTCGCCACTGGCTCCCTACTTAGCCTTTCCTGATAGTCCCAGCAGGGGAGTTGGGGGGCTGACTTAGTTCATTTGGGCTGCTGTAACAAAATGCCATAAACTGGGTAGCTTATAACAACAGAAATGTATTTCTCACAGTTCTGAAAGCTGGGAAGTCCACGATCAAGGCACCAGCAGATAGGGTGTCTGGTGAGGGCCTACCATCTCATCGACGGCACCTCCTCCCTGTGTCCTCGCATGATGGAAGGGGCGAGCAGCCTCTCTTGGGCCTCTTTTTTAAGAACACTAATCCCATTCATGAGGGCTCCTCTGCATGACCTAGTCACTTCCCAAAGACACCACCTCCTAATACCATCCCCTTAGGGGTTAGGACTTCAACATATAAACTTAGGGGGTAGCTGGCTCAAACATTCAGACGTACAGGTACCTTGTTCCTTGTGGTGTTTGGAGTTTGGAGGTTATTGTCTAAAAGTGTTTTTCTTGCCCAGCTTCCCATCAGCTTGTCCTTTGGTAGTGAGAGGAGGCTTTTCTTGAGGCTTTTGTTTTCCCTGCTCCACCCCTGTTGGTATTTCCAGAGTGCTGGCTGCTTCATCTATAAGTTTGGGATGTGTGAGGCAAAAAGAATACAGAATAACCAAGAAGCTCACCATATGCCATTCTTTTCTAGCTTGTCTGCCTTCTTCTCTCTGCCTTCAGAATTGTCTTTTTTTTTTTTTTTTTTGAGACAGAGTTTCGCTGTTATCACCCAGGCTGGAGTGCAATGGCATGATCTTGGCTCACTATAACCTCCACCTCCTGGGTTCAAGTGATTCTCCTGCCTCAGCAGGAGATTACAGGTGCCCGTCACCATGCCCAGATAATTTTTGTGTGTGTGTGTGTGTGTGTTTTTTTTTTAGTAGAGATGGAGTTTCACCAAGTTCGCCAGACTGGTCTGGAACTCCTGACCTCAGGTGATCCACCTGCCTCGGCCTCCCAAAGTGCTGGGATTACAGGCGTGAGCCACATGCCTGGCCTTATGTTTGTCTTGTATGTGATGACCAGGATTTTAGTTGTACATAGCAGGAAGAATAGGGAAAAGTGCATCTACTCTATCTTACCAGAAGCAGATGTTCTATAATTGACTTTTTAAATGGAAAGTTATAAGCTAATTTTTGTGTGTGCAAGGAGCATTAAAATATTGAAACTGAGTCATTATATTTGTAAATATAATTTGTTAGATTTATAATAATTAGTTCTGTGATAAGGTTTTATTTCAAAAAACTAAATTTGAGTAACATATTTCTTTTTACAAAAGAAAAGCAGATTGCCTTTTTTGTCCACCAAAGCCATGCCTCTAAGAAAGGGGAAGAAAAAACCTCACTCATGTTTATGAGAAGTTGGACTAATAATAAATATGTCCCAAACTGCTTTTCCCCAAAGTGTTGATTCTGTTAAGCTTTTTGGTTGCAAGTAACAGAAACAAGTTCTTAAGCAAGAGACCGGACTGTTCCTGGCTTCAGGAAGGTCCAGAGCGAGGATGGCTCCAGGGTCCTGAGGAGCAGCAACTAATGATTTGTTCGGGCCTCACCTTGGGCTGAAGGGAGCCAGCCTTTCTTCAGACTTTGTGTTTCTCAGTCCAAGATCTGGATCCCAGAGAAAGAGATTCTGGCCTGCCTGGCTTGGGTCACACTTGGGCCATGGTGTCTAGGGAAGATGGAGCACTGGGAATGACAGTTCCAATAAGACTGTGTCCAATGGGGAGAGGGTGGAGAAGAGTCCTCCCCAGCAAAATCAGGGTGCCCTTTATCAGAAGAAAAGGAAAGGATTAAAATGTTAGTCAAGTGAGAGTCATAGATACTTACTCCAGACACCCATGGCTGGATTCCAAGTTAAGAGTTCTAGAGCCAAATGAGTTTGAGAACCTGAGACAAGGAGAAACTCCTCTGAGAGCCTCTAACATGCTCTGGGGGCTCCCAGCAGTGGGTAGAGGATGCATTGCCTTTAACTACATGGTGCTTTTCTTGCCTTGGAACCCCATTAGCATCTCTGGGAACTCGGCTGGGGAAACCCTGGCTGGGCAGGTCTCCAGCAAGCCTTTTAGCTCTGAGATCCTGTGATCCTACAGGAAGGACGTGTTCTGCCCGCAGGTGGCTTTATTCCATCTTGCTGCTCATCAGGTGAGTCAGAATCAGTTCCCAGCTCTGACCTTTTCCATGTGGGGGACACATCTCAGATGTGGTGAGGTCACGGTGGCAGAGCTGGGACTAGACTGGAGTCCCCTGGCTTCACGTTTTTCCCTTCTGTGGCAGCCCTGAGCCTTGTTGGGAGAGAAGTTCAGGACAACTGTCCATGGTGATTTCAATTAGTGGGCCTCCCTCTCAGTCCTCCTGCCCTCGCCTGTCCCTGGCCACCTGCCCCTTCTCAGGGAAGACCTGCCCTCAGCTCTCTAAGCCCCGCGATCTAGGAGAGGGAAGCTTCGAGGGAGGATTGACTTCACTATTACTGCTGACTCTGTCCTGAGGAGGAAGCCTTGGCCAGCTCTGGCCACTGCGGGGCAGCTTGCTAGTTATCTGTCTTTCCAGATGGACTGAACATATGACAGGGAGGACTGTTTGTCTTGTTAACTGCCGATTCCCTAGGGCCTGTCCCATGCCTTGAAGAATGGGCAGGATTTCACCAGGGAGGGGAGTCAGCTGGGGTTGGGAAGAGAACATGCTGGGAAGGAGGATGCAGCAATGGCCAGCATAGAGCATTCCTTGGTGTCCAGTGGTGGAATAAGGCTGAAGGGTGTACTGGGGACTCACTATAGTGTGGTTTAAATGCTAGTACACTTTGACCCAGCAATTCCACTTATAAGAATTTGTCCCAAGGGACTAATCCAGACAAATGCACAAAAATGTGTGCACTAGGCTCTTCAATCACAGCATTGTTTTTTAAACAGGAAACATAATAGACACGGGGGACTCCAAAACGGGGAAGGGTTGGGGTGAGGGCGAGAGTTGAAAAATTACCGATTGGGTACTGTGTTCACTTATTTGGGTGATGGGTTCACTAGAAACCCAAACCTCAGCATTACACAATATACCCATGTAACACACCTGCATATGTACCCCCTGAGTCTACAGTAAAATTAAATGAAAAATTAATAATAAAGGAAACAACCTAAATATCCAGTAATAGCAAAGCTATGATATAAAACATGACACATCCAAAAATAATGAGTTATTTGACATTTAATAAAAATGACAAATTAGGTATGCCTGACAGGGAAATGTGTTCATAATATGCTAAATAAAAAAACAGATTATAAAACAGATGGTAATCTTATTTTTATAAAGTACATTAACATTTCCATTGATATGTAAATGTATGGACAGGAAAATGTTTGCAGGAATAAGAACCAAAATGTTTATAGTCATTATCTCTGGGTTATAGAATTAAAGGTGACTTTTCTATTATGGTTTTGTGTTATTGTTATTTTTATTTTTCATTTTTTTCTCATGCTACCTTGTCTAATTTATTATTATCTATATGTATTTCCTAATTACTCTACAATGAATATGTGTTTGGTAGTCATTTTATAAAGTAAAAAATTCCATGCCAGGAAGTCTGAACCTAACTCATACGTGATGTAAATTAACTTTTTATAAATTGAATAATTGAAAATGCCCTAAGCAAGTGAGCTGGTTAAAAGAGTTTCATTGAAATCCCTCTGGGAAATTGAAGACTCTGTTGACAAGATAGCAAAAAGTGTTCTCTGGCCTGTATTTCTCTTGTAAATTCTGATTTTGGAATGTTGCTTTTCTGCACAAGATGATGGCAAGTTAATCCTTTTTTTTTTGTTTTTGAGACGGAGTCTAGCTCTGTTACCCAGGCTGGAGTGCAGTGGCGCATCTCGGCTCACTGCAAGCTCTCCTGGGTTCATGCCATTCTCTTGCCTCAGCCCCCCGAGTAGCTGGGACTATAGGCACCCGCCACCACGCCCGGCTAATTTTTTGTATTTTTAGTAGAGACGGGGTTTCACCGTGTTAGCCAGGATGGTCTCGATCTCCTGACCTCGTGATCCACCCGCCTCGGCCTCCCAAAGTGCTGGGATTACAGATGTGAGCCACCGTGCCCGGCCGTCAAGTTAATACTTTAAAGGGAATAGCACAGCAGGTTTCGACCTTGTCAGGTCAGTGTGATTGGGCCACCAAAGTGTCCAATTCGGGACAGCGTTTTATAAACTAGCAAAGCAGCCAGATTAACCTGGAGTAGTAAAATTCCAGTTGTGGGTCTGGAATGTGGCTTTGTCACTGATATTGTTTTTCTCGTTTTGTTTTGGGGCAGCAAATGGTTGAGTGTCAAAAGTGTCCTGGGGCCCCCTGGCTTGTGCCCAAATCATGTCTACTCCTGTGAACTTTCCTTACAGGAAAACCTGATCGGCGCCCTCTTGGCGATCTTTGGGCACCTTGTGGTCAGCATTGCACTTAACCTCCAGGTAAGTTTCAGTCACCAGCACTGTCTGGGGGCAGAGACACAGCAGATAAGTCAGGGTGTCTTATCCAGGTCCAGCTGCCTCCTTTCTGCAGGGCCTTGCCTACTCTATCCCTGGGCTGCACCTGGGACAATACCTTGTGGGCCGTTCCAGGATTTCTCTTGATTTGGTGGCCCCACTCCATCCTGCCCTCACTCTCCTAGCCAGGTCCTCACCATCTCTCCTTGGGCTTTGCAGTGACCTCCTGCTAGCTTCCCTGGCTCTGGTATCATCCTCTCTTTGCCTTGCCACATAGCTGCTGGAATTACCATAGTTTTGTCAAACTCAACTCGAATTACAGCATTGTTCATTACTTACAAGCCTCTGGGATGCCCTGTACAGCTGCTGGGGACCCCCCTACTGACCTCCAGGTCCCCTTGGCCTGTCTGAGTTCACAAGCAGCTGTGGTGTGGAGCAAGTTGATAGCTAATGAGCTTCTCATGGGGGCACCAGGGAGCTGGTGCTACTGGCATGCAGGCACAACTGGGGTTTGCACTGGGGGAGTGGGACAGTTAATGCCCCTGGAGGCTGCCTTCTGCCAGGAGGGGTGGGAGGCAGGGAATACAAGGCCCAGGCTCTTATCCTCTGCTAGGATGATTCTAAGGTGAGATTCACAGGGTTTTTCAGAGGGTCCCCTGTGGGACTGAGCCTCAGTTGCCCACGGGACTAATTCGCTCATGAACCACCTTTCATCTCCGTTCCCTGCCTCACTTTCCCCCTCCCTTACTTGAGCTCCCTGGAATCATCTCATACAGACTACCTGCTCCCACGTTCTTGTCTCAGGAACTGCTTCTGGGAAACCCAAATAAGACTTGATACCTGCTAACAGGATGAATCCCACAGCACACTGGCCGGCTTCACTCCACCAGCACTGCCCAGCTTCTGCCTGCAGTGAACTGCTCTCCCTGGCCCTGGAGCAGGCAGGAGACTGTGATCCCTGTGGGCACACGCATGGGCACACACCTGTACCCTATGCATCTCAGCTCTGGGGTGTGTATGTTTCTATGTGTCGCTGAGACCATGTGGTCTCTTAGCTACTTGAATGATTCATTCTCTTATTTCTCCAGGGCAGCATCTCTGGTTATTTATCTGCCTCTGGGCAGCCCACATCATGATCCTCCCCAAATGGCAGACTTGGTCCTTTAAGTCAATGTGACTTTCTAGCCTGTTAGTTACCACCTCAGTTTCCATGTCACAGGTTCACATTTCTCCAAAAAAGAATATTGACCATACTTGAGCCACGTAACCAGCCCAGGGAGAGCAAGGTCCACTGATACCCACACAACTGCCCAGTGAGAGCTGCTGCCATGTAGACAGGAAGGAGTGTGCCGTACACTCGGGCATCCAAACATGAGGAATCCTGGAAACTGCAGAGACAGGGAGGAGGTCGACCCAAGGACCAGGCCACATGGGATCCTTAGACTGTGGCTCCCACCCTGAGACTGCACATTGCCTGTGACGTGCATTAGAAATGCCTGTTCTCAGGCTCACCCACACCTCTCTGGGACTGACTCAGGATGAGGCCCAGGCGGGTATTTTGTCAGAGCTTCCCAGGGGCTTATAAGGATTCCCAGCCTGTTGGAGTACTACTGTCCTAGAATAACCGTCTAGTATTTAGATCCCTACTGTCTTACTCTTCTGTGAGTCAGCACTCCACAAGAACCTGACAAGTCTTCCCAATTTATTTTCAAGTCGGGGGTAGATTTAGGGTAACTGCATCATAGTATTTTTTCCCCCAAACATATGAGCAAATTACATTATTTCTTGGGTTTCTAGAAGTACTGCCACATCCGCCTGGCAGGCTCCAAGGATCCCCGGGCCTATTTCAAGACCAAGACATGGTGGCTGGGCCTGTTCCTGATGCTTCTGGGTGAGCTGGGTGTGTTCGCCTCCTACGCTTTCGCACCGCTGTCACTCATCGTGCCCCTCAGCGCAGTCTCCGTGATAGGTAAGACCAGGGCTGCCCCACCCTCCCCTGGGGTGCTTCCAGCTGTGTGACCAGAGTGCCACTGCCAGGATCAAAGGTGTCCATTGAACAAACCAGCTTTAGCTTGGATAGTAATAACCTGATACAAAGGACTTCAGACACACCAGGCCCTGTAAGTGCTTACAGATATTAATTCTGCTAATCTTCCAGCCACCTGTTGAGGAAGGTGGTGTTGTTATCCCCATTTAACAGATGAGGAAACTAAGGCACAGGGTAATGAAATTACTTTCCCCAAATGACACTAGTGAGTAACAGGGCTGGGATATGAACTGGGCTGTGTGGCTCCAGGATCTGTTTAAGATTCAGAAAGTTTATTAGGATTGCTTTTTATTTCTAAAAGAAGAAGGAAGATAAACCTTAACCCCTGTATCTTTTCACCGTCAAGATACATTAAGTTTGTCACTGGGTGCAGTGGCTTGTACCTGTAATCCCAGCTACTTGGGAGGCTGAAGTGTGAGGATCACTTGAGGCCAGGAGTTTGAGACCAGCTGGGGCAACATGGAGAGACCCCATCTCTACAAAAAAAAAAAAAAGAAAGAAAAACAATTAGCGGCGTGGTGGTGTGCACCTGTGGCCCTAGCTACTTGGGAAACAGAAACAGGAGGATCTCTTAAGTCTAGAGTTTGAGGCTACAGTGAGCTTTGATTGCACAAACACAAATTAAGCTTTTGTAGGGTTTGGGGCCAGGCCAGGCTGGTCTCAAATTCTTGAGCTCAAACTATCTGCCTGCCTTTCCTCCCAAAGTGCTGGTACTACAATCGTAAGCCACTGCACCTGGCCATTAACTTTCTCATCTGCCGGCTTTCTATGATTTCCATAATCACTGAACCAGTTTATCAGAACTTTTGAACCAACTAAAAGACAAGGGAGCTTTAATGTTCATGAGAACACAAGCAAAACAAAATTAGAAAAAAAAGAATTTCTTCTTAAAGAAAAGATGTTAGTAGATTAGTGAACAATAGCTTTTTTGTATGCATAGCAGCCAGGACAATGAACTTGCTTTGAAATATTTCTTTCTATTTTACTGGCAAGCACTACTCTGCCCAGATGCTCTCCTCTGCTCTTAAAGGGGAAAGTCATATTTTGGGTCTTATTCCTCCTTGAGTTAAGAGGTTCTCTTCTATACAAGGGATGGCAGAGGCATGGTAACTATGTGCCCCTCCCTTCCTGTGCTCAAGGCAGAGATCATTAATCAATCATGGCACTCCCTCCCAGAGAGCAGAGATGGGGCCTCAGAATTCTCAGTGTTTTCAACAGTTACTACCAATCACCAGGAGCTGGCAAAGGAGCAGAAACCTATTTACTTTCCCTGATCCTGTCATAAGGCCCTGTTTTTTCTAACCAGGGTTGGTGAACTGACAGCTTACAAAGTCAATGAGGTCCTCAGACATGGCATGTGTTTTTTCCCACACAATATTTTTTTAATGTAATTTGAATGTCTTTAGCTGAGGCAAGTAGTTTGCCAGAGTCTCAGCCTGTCCCTATTGTCTTACTTCCGGACCATTTTCTGTGTTTCTGTTATGTTACTCCCCAGCCCCTCTATGTGATCATACCTGTAGCCTTATCACTCTGCTCTGCCCACTGCAGGTATCTCCAGAGGGCTCCCAAACCTTTTTCCCAGTGAGAAATAAGTGTCTAAGTGACTGGTGCTTTAAATATTAGTCTTTGAATTTTAATAAGGTTCAAATAACCAAATTCTTTTATTTTTTTAAAGAGGCCAAGTTATAATGATAAAACTTCAGATACCAGCCACTGGAAATTAAGGGGCCCTAGAGCTTCTGAAGTCATCCAGTGAGGAGTAATATTAAAAATAATAATGATTATCACTTATTGGATATCTATGACTTAACCATCACTGCTCCAGGTACTTTTAGTAATAATACTAGCTTAGTTATTGAGATTGACTGTGTGCCCAATGACTTACATATATCATTGAATTACCCCTATCATTCAGAAAAGTAATTTTCAATGGTGTGCTGGTAAACCACCTCTCAGAGAGACAAAGGAGAAGAAAAAGAAGAGGAGAGGGAGAGGTGGAGAAAAGGGATGGAAAGGTGGAAAGGAGCAAAGGAAGACCTGATTTGTAGCACTTGCCAGTTTACATGGTATAGACATTATTGCTCCTACTGTGGCTGATTTCAAACTGCGGATGGTTTTCTGAATGTTTAACAAAATATTTAACATTCTATGAGCTGGTGCCAGCTGGCTCTAACACCGTATTTCATAGATTAGAGAACTGAGACTCAGGTGAAGTGACATATCCAAGGACACACAGCCAGAAGAGGCAGAACTAGGGTAGTGAGTGATCCAGGTCTGTTCAGAGTGACTGCCAGCCCTATTCTTTTGGGCAGTCCCAAGGGTGTTTGAGTACATCTGTGAACATGGAAGAACCAGGAAGAGGAAAGAGCCGGGGAAATGTCAGAGGTGGGTGTTACGGTGGAAGAAGTAAGAGCCCTGGCCTCCTGCAGTCCTGGGTTCAAGTCTTGCCTTCCCCTACCACCTTCATGATCTTGAGTGGGCCCTTTACCTCTCTCAGCTTCAGTGTCCCCATTTGTCAAATAGGAATAATGAGAGTACCCACCCCCAAGGGTGAACATGCCAGAAATAACTTGTGTAAATCGCCTGTCACACAGCAGGTACTCAATGCTTCTGGCCTTGTAGGAAATCCTCAGGAAGGAAGGCTCCTCTCTAAGCCTCCCTTTCCTAGATGGAATCACACAGGAACCAAGCTCTTGGCAGCATGAGTGACAGGTTAGGAAGTACCAAGTTCCAATGCAAAGGAGCCACACAGAGGGCCTGGGCGAAGGGATGCCCTTTCACTGACGGCAGCCTCAATTCCCTTTTCTTTGTGCTTCATTTTTCAGCTAGTGCCATCATAGGAATCATATTCATCAAGGAAAAGTGGAAACCGAAAGACTTTCTGAGTAAGTTCAGGGATTTGAACTGTGTCCTTAATTTTATATGAATGCTTTTTTTTAAAATTGTAAAACCAGTTCACTCTAATTCAGAGGTTATCTGCCTGCTGCTCTCCTCTGTGGTTCTATGTTCTGCCCTCAACAGGCTCCTGAAAGCTGGAGTTTTTAATCAGGGGTTCTCAAGCCTGGAAACACATCAGAATTATCGGTGAAGCTTTTGAAAATGGACTTTTATCCACCCCATTGGATCAATTTTCAGCATCTATTATTGGGATTTTAAGAGGCCCAATAAAAGAAACCCTCTCTCCCTGACCAAGTTCTAAAGCAATGGGAGTCAAACACAGGCGATCAGAAGTCATGCTTTACTCCTAATATAAGCTAGATTAGGGCATTTTAGGTGAGCTAGATTAAAGCATGAAGCTGCTTAGGTGAGCAGCCAGGGGAATGTCCTTGCACTCTCCCCACAGGACCCTCCAGCTCCCAGTCAGACCTTGGGTGGGTCCCCCCAAGAAACACTTGGGTTTACAGAGTGGAGACACTTAGCAAGAATTATTGCTTCACATAGTTTGGGCCAGAGAAGGAAGAAAAAAGATCAAAGCCCCAGTGTTTAATTTTTAAGTAGATTAGCTCCATCCAAGTTGAGAAATGTAGACCAACAGGGCAAGAGGCAGAAGTGTCACTTTAATGGAGGTCTCTCCACATGGAAACCCAAGGAGTTGGGAAGAAGCGTTCCCCCCAAAACACCTACTGAGTGCCATGTTGTGTTATAGGTGCTGGGGACACAGCAGTAGGATAGATGGGGCTTCTGCCCACAGAGATTATAGTCGTGTGTGTGTGTGTGTGTGTTGGGGGAGGGAAGAGATAACAATAAACAAGTAACTAAATGAAATAATTTTAGGTCATAGTGAGTTTTTCAGAGAAAATTGAATGCTTTTGGGGCCTGGGGAGATGGGAACACTTTTCTAGACTCATCAGGGTCAGACTCTCTGAGGAGGTGATTTTCCCCCCAGTTTTTATTTTAATTTCAGGGGCACATTTGCAGGATGTGCAGGTTTGTTACATAGGGCAACGTGTGCCATGGTGGTTTGCTGCACAGATCATCCCATCACCTAGGTATTAAGCCCAGCATCCATTAGATATTCTTCCTAATGGTCTCCCTCCCCCAAACCCCCACCCTCCAACAGGCCCCAGTGTGTGTTGGTCCCCGACCATGTGTCCATATGTTCTCATCATTCAGCTCCCACTTACAAGTGAGGACACACAGTATTTGGTTTTCCATTCCTGCATTAGTTTGCTGAGAATAATGGCTTCCAGCTCCATCCATGTCCCTGCAAAGGATATGATATTGTTCTTTTTTTTTTGGCTGCATAGTACTCCATGGTGTATATGTACCATATTTTCTTTATCCAATCTGTCATTGATAGGCATTTAGGTTGATTCTGTGTCTTTGCTATTGTGAATGTGCTGCAGTGAACGTATGTGCACATGTATCTTTATAATAGAACAATTTATATTCCTTTGGGTATATACCCAGTAATGGGATTGCTGGGTCAAATGGTATTTCTGCCTCTAGGACTTTGAGGAATCACCACACTGTCTTTCACAATCATTGAACTAATTTACACAAGGAGATGATTTTGAAGCCCAGATCCAGTTAATGCTAAGGCGATTTCCATCCCCAGGTCTGTGGGCAGGGTTTTCCACATACTGGGAGCCACAGGTGCAAGGATCTGAGGCAGGAACAAGCTTGGTTTGTCCAGTCTCAGTAAGGCTGTGTAGCCAGAGGGTAATGAATAAAGTGAGAGTGAGATCAGGGAGACGTGGAGGACTGGCTGATGTGTAGACCTTATGTGCCATACTGAGGAATTGAGGAGTGAGGTGATGGTGGCCCAAGCTCTGTCCTCAGAGATTCTGAGCTCTGGGCTGGGGCCGGGGCATTGGCATTCTTACAGAGCTCACCAGGGTGAAGTGTATACTGATGTCTGCAAGTTGCTTTGAAATGCATCAAAAATAAGATGGATTAATGCATGGATACAGAGATGGATAGATAGATACGTGAGAAAACAAGTATGAAAGGTCGATTTAGAATCTAGCTGTTGGGACTATGGGTACTCATTATACAACTCTTTGAACTTTAATGTACGTCTGAAAAATTTTAAAACAGAACTTCAGGGAGAGAAAATTTCCAAGATGTTGTGGATATACAGCCAGGTTTGGGGACCACTCTGCATCACTGATATAGAATAAGATCAAGGTGGGACCAAGAGGCCCAAAAAGAAAAGAATTTTACTCTGAAAAAAAAAAAAAAAAAGCAGAACTTTGCCAAAAGAAAAAAGTAGAGACTTTGGAGCTACTGCCAAGAAGACCAAACGACAGACTGAATTTCAGTAGTCTTAATGATGGGGCGGGTGGTTAGCGCTGGTTCTAAGACCAGTATAGAAGTTTGCATCCCTTTGGGAATACTCTAGGTAGTCCTAGGATGAGAGCCATGCTAGTGCAAGCAGTACGCTATGTGACTTGGAAAAAGAAGGCCCCTCTGGGTATTCGTAGTTTTGTAGGCACAAGCCTTGATGAGCAGAGCATGGGCTGGATTTCAGCCCATCTCACCCATTCAGCCAGGTGCCCTTGTGCAGTAAGCAACCTGCACAGCTGAACATGGCTGTCTTACCTGGAGTTCCATTACATTCAGCAAACATTCACTCAGTGCTAGACCTGTGTTGGACACTGCAGGTGTAGAGATGAGTAAGACCCATCCCTGCCCGAAGAAAACTTTAGATAACAGACTTACTTTGTTGAGCTTAACTGTGGCTCATTCATTCATTGAACCATTGAACAACCGTTTTTTGAACACCTCCTACATTTACGAGGCCTAGTACTAAGAATAAAGATAAAAGACGTTTAACATAGAATCACATTTTCTCTAGACAGTGGGATGAAATAGGCAAAGTTAGTTCTATCCCAGAAAAGTCCGGAGGCCTGTGGTCACCATAAGTGTGGCTTAGAACTGTCAGCTGTTTTTTGGCTGCCTGGGGCTGGGCTGGACCTTGGAGGCTTTTCACCAACCTTACAGAGTTCAATAGGAGTGTGACAAGACTCCAGGGAAGAGACAAGAGCCATGCCACCTGGACCACTAACAGTCTCTGACAGGTCTGTGGAGTAGAATATTGATAGTAGTTATATAGTTATTATATAGTTCCCTTGACATTAGGTTAAATAACCAGTTGGGAAAGGATGAGGTAATTTTTAAAAGGTACATGTTGAACTCTGAAGGTTGGCCTTTATGTTTTGTTTTATTTGTTTTTTTGGTTTATTTGCCCATAAAGTGATTTTAGTTTTAAAATGTTACCTATAAAATGTGCATTAAAATCACAGTGCAATACTATAATGGCTAAAATGGAGAAGACAAAATGTAAGTGTTGACAAGAATGTAACTAGAACTCTCTTGCTCTACTGGTGAGAGTGTAAATTGTGACAACCACTTGGGAAAAACATTTGACACTAACTACCAAATTGAACATCCACATATCCTATGGAGGAATTCCACCCCTCATTTTATACTCAACAGAAATGCATACATGTGTTTCTCAAATGACGTGTACGAGAATGTTCACAGCAACATAATTTTTTATAACTCCAGGATGGAGACTCCTCAAATGCCCCCCAGCAGTGGAATGGATAAATTGTGTTGTATTTACACAGTGGATCACCCTACACAGTGAGAACGAATGAACTGCCACCGTGCCCCACAACACAGATGGATCTCAGAAACATGTTGAGTGGATACATACAAAAGAGATCACACTGTATGGGTCCATTCATATAAAGCACAAAGCCAGGAAAAGCTATCAGTGCTGTTACAGGTCAAGATAGTGTTACCCTGAGGGTGGGGTCGAGCGATCAGTTTCACAAATGAGAAATTTCAGGATCTGACTCATGCTCTCTTTCTCCATCTGGGAGCTGGTTTCATGAGTGTGTTCACTTTGGGAGAATTCCTCAAGCACTTTTTGTATGCATGTTATACTTCTTTAAAGTTTTGTTGTTGTTTTTTACATTAAGTGGTTTTTTTTTAACAAAATTAAGGAAGATCATTTATTTTTTAAAGTAAAGAAAAACCAAAAATACAAACAATAACAGGTCATGGTATGTTGCAGGAGAAGCCTGTTTTTTCGTGGCTGAGAATGTGTACCGTATCTCGGGCCTGTTGTTACAATGAGTCCGTGACAGCCTCTCTTCCCCGCAGGGCGCTATGTCTTGTCCTTTGTTGGCTGCGGTTTGGCTGTCGTGGGTACCTACCTGCTGGTGACATTTGCACCCAACAGTCACGAGAAGATGACGGGCGAGAATGTCACCAAGCACCTCGTGAGCTGGCCTTTCCTTTTGTACATGGTAAGAGAAGCCTCCAGTCCTTCCCCCTGAGATGGCAGGAGGGAGATCAAGTCCTAGAAACCAGAAACATGAATACCCAGCAATAGGGCGTCCCGTGAATTGTGGCACATTGTACCAGCATGAAAGACTGTGCTTCTGGAGAGCATGCAGTTCATGGGGAAATGCTTGTTGTATTTATGTCCTGAGTAATATCAAAACCATTATATAGTCTGATGCCAGTTTTGTTTTTTAGAGGTGGGTATAGATATGGTCATGTAATATATCTGTGAAGGCCTGGATGGGAAAGCAAATTGCATCAGTGGTTGGCTCTGGGAGATAATGTTATGACTCAGTTCTTATTTCCTCTTCATCTTTCTGAATTATCCAAAATGTCTACAGTAACCATTTCAAACTTTGATGGTAAGGGGAAGAAAAAGTTAAAACTGTAAACAATTTAAGAATGTTATTTTATTTTTTTTCCCAGTATCACACTGCTGGTAGAAGCCCAGGAGACACAGGAAACTTTTTTTTTTTTTTTTTGGAGACGGAGTCTCGCTCTGTCACCCAGGCTGGAGTGCAGTGGCCGGATCTCAGCTCACTGCAAGCTCCGCCTCCCGGGTTCCCGCCATTCTCCTGCCTCAGCCTCCCGAGTAGCTGGGACTACAGGCGCCCGCCCCCTCGCCCGGCTAGTTTTTTTGTATTTTTTAGTAGAGACGGGGTTTCACCGTGATAGCCAGGATGGTCTCGATCTCCAGACCTCGTGATCCGCCCGTCTCGGCCTCCCAAAGTGCTGGGATTACAGGCTTGAGCCACCGCGCCCGGCCGACACAGGAAACTTTGTCTCCTAACCCCTCTGCCAGAGCTCAGTCCTCTGCCCCAGTTCTATCCCATTTTAAGTCTATAAATCAACTGATTAAGGAAAACATCTAAAGTATTTGATAAAGCTATTGGTACGTTCTTGTTCCATGCCCTGCACTGTGCTAAATACATTTTTATATATCATCTCAGATTCTCTTAACCCTATAGAGTAAATGTTCTTCCCATTTTATGCATGAGAAAACCAGGGCTCTAAAAGGTGAGCTGACCTGCTCAGAGTCCATAAAAGCAGAGTTGGATTTGAAGGCTGGGCCCACCTGGCCTCAGGTGCCATCTTCCTTCCCCGTGGCCTGCCAACAAAGGTGTTCACTGTTTTCCTCTGAGTCTAGAGGCCCTGGAACATCCTTTTTCCTCAGTTTATCCACAAGGCAGAGGATCACTTCCCCTGAAATGGGGGCTGTGTCATTTCCCAACTGGCAGCCAGCCCCAGGATGTAGTTGGTGACAGAGCAAAAGACTGCCTCCTTGGGCAAAGCTTTACCCCAGAACAGGCCTTTCACTCAGGAAGTCTTGGACTTCAATTCTCTAAGTGCTGTGTGGCCTTAGCCAAGTCGCTTTCCTTCTCTGTTTCCCTCTCTGTAAAATGGCAAGAATCTCTGGACTTAGAATTGCTATTGGGAGATCCAGGAAGTAGCATTTAAGTCACCCAGAACGTGGTAGGTGCTCAGTGAATGACTCTGTTGTCTTACTTCATCATGACCAGGAGGCAGTGCTGCCAGCTGGAGAGATTTGGACAAACCAAATTCAGTCAATATTTATTGAGCGTCTACTGTGTGCTCGACACTATGGTTATAAAAAATAAATGAGACATGCCCACAGAACTCATGGACTGTTGGGAGGCACCGCATATGCACAGCCATCTCATGATATAATATCCAGTGCTATTCCCGCGTTCGTTTTAGAATCATGGAGAATGGGCCACTTGTGGTGGCTCACACCTGTAATCCCAGCACTTTGGGAGGCCGAGGCAGGAGGATTGCTTGAGCCTAGGAACTTGGACAGTGTTCAAGTGTGGACAATGACCAGTGTGGACAATGTGGCAAAACCCCATCTCTATTAGGAAAAATTAAAAATTAGCCAGGTGTGTTGGCACGTGCCTGTAGTACCAGCTACTAAGGAGGTTAAGGTGGGAGGATAGCTTGAGCCCTGGAGGTCAAAGCTGCAGTGAGCCATGATCATAGTACTGCACTCCAGCCTGAGTGACACAGTGAGACCGTGTCTCAAAAAAAAGAAAAAGAAAAAAAGCATCATGGAGAATGGCTGAACAATTGGGGCCCCTCAAATGCAGGCACAGTGGTTGGGAACGTTGATGACTGGCAACACATCCACTTGATGAAGTGTTCTGCAGCAATTAAAGATAATTATGACAACTTCACACAACATGAAGATTGTTTATGGTAACTAAAAACAGCCCAGTCCAAAATTGTGCATTGACTATAATGACAACTCGATAAAATATGGATTCCCTGGAACAAAGACAAAGAAGAAACAGAGGGAAATGAAAGCAGCTGTGTTTTAGTGGTCTCTAATTAGAAGGAATGTTTTAAATGTTTCAAAATGCCCATTAATGTTTCTGTGTTGTTTTTTATACTAAATCAGCTTTGATAAGGGGTTTGGGGTAGGCAAATGCGACTAGGCTGTTGTCAAAGTTTTCTGCTTTCGTTACACTGGGTGCTAGGGCTGGCTCAACTTCTTGGGAAAGTGTTAGCAAATATCTGGGCTTTTAAGGGGTGGCAAGGACAAGTTGTCGACGTGAGGAGGGGGAGCTTCTCAAACTCGGACTTGCCGTCGTCTAATGGTAAGTTTCTACTGATGGAGCACTTCTAAACACCAGGCACTGGGCCGCCCATCTCCAGAGAGTGTAGTCTAGCAGGAAAGTGCATGGGCCTGGGAGCCAGACTGTCCAGGTTTAAATTTCTCTGTGTCATGCACGGGATCGTGGTAGTACCTGCTTCCTAGAGTTCTTGTGCTGATTTCTTGAGATTAAGGTAGATAAAATGCTTAGAACACTACCTGGCATACAAGGAGATGTCATTTAGTGTAAGCTGTGATTATGGACTCCTTAAAAAGAATTCTTATCCTTATTTCCCACAGGGTTAACTAAGGTTTAGAGAAGTTAAGTGACTTACCCAAGGTCACACAACTAGTTTAGAGGCAGATCCAAGGTCAAACCCAGGTCTCCCTGACTCCACATGCCTTCCTCATTCTATTCTGTTAAACCTCACACTGGAAGCTTGGCTGGGGGCACAGGGAGTATATACTCATATTCTTTTTTTCTTTGAGATGGAGCCTCGCTTTGTCTCCCAGGCTGGCATGCGGTGGCACGATCTCAGCAATTCTCCTGCCTCAGCCTCCTGGGTAGCTGGGATTACAGGCAGATGCCACCACGCCCAGCTAATTTTTTTTTTCTATTTTTAGTAGAGACCAGGTTTCACCATGTTGGCCAGGCTGGTCTCAAACTCCTGACTTCAGGTGACCCGCCCGCCTCAGCCTCCCAAAGTGCTAGGATTACAGGAGTGAGCCACCGCACCTGACTTCTTATTCTTGACCAAAGAGCTTGGTGAACAAGTGTCTCCCTCTTGGACTGACCCATTGTTTTAATGGGGATACCCATGGAGCAGTGGAGTAGGAAGAAACCTTCTCAGCCTGATGAATCTTGGCCCTCCAAGAAAGAGTGGACATGAGGGCAGCACCTCACCCTCAAAGCTTCAGCCTCAGGACAACGGGGAATTCCTTCTCAGTACTAGCCAGGGATTAGAGAGATTCACTCTGTGTTTCCCTTTTCCCCTGAATGTCTACCAGTAGTTTGGGAAATGCTGACTCATAGCTCAGTCATTCCCTTTCAACCCTGTAACTCTGATGATGGCCTAGCCCACCAGGGTCTCCCGGTCTCACCTACCTCTGTGGTCCCCACTGACCCCCTGCTCACTGCCTTCCACAGCTGGTGGAGATCATTCTGTTCTGCTTGCTGCTCTACTTCTACAAGGAGAAGAACGCCAACAACATTGTCGTGATTCTTCTCTTGGTGGCGTTACTCGGTAAGTTGGCATTTAGATGATTGAGTTTTGCCACCACCAAGAAGCACCAAATGGAGATGTGGGTTTTGTTTGCAGAGCTTTGGCCCCTGGACACAGAAGCTGCTTGAGACTGGCTCAGGTTGTTCTGTCTCCATCAGTGGCTCTGGGGAGCTGAGTCCCTGCTGACTGGAGACAAACTCCTGTCCTCCAGGAGCCTCCAATCTAAAGGGAGAAAATAGCAGTAAACGACTAGCCAAATTCATAGGTTATGTAAGTTTGGGCAATAACAATTCCAATGAGGAAGAATTAAGCAGAGTGAGGATGAGGTGAGTTACGTTGTTTCAGAGATGGCAGAAGTAGAACACGCCCCAGTGATTGGGCCCTGAAAAGATCCATGCAAAACCTACCAGAGCTTAGGAATTCATTCTGGATTCAAAGATGGGTGCTGTGGAAGAGATAGCTCCTGAATCACCTTGAGGCTGGAACTGCATATTAATTTTTCCTTTTTTTTCCTTTTTTTTTTTGAGACAGTCTCACTCTGTCACCCAGGCTGGAGTGCAGTGGTACAATCATAGCTCACAGTAGCTTTGACCTCCTGGCCTCAAGTGATCCCCCTGCTTCAGCCTCCCAAAGTGCCAGGATTACAGGCATGAGCCACTGTGCCTGGCTAGAACTGTATATAATTTTATAGCTAAATAGAGCTGTGGGGAATCCATCCTTCCTGAGAAGGAGAAGCGGACAGAGGTGGAGGAGCAGACTGGTGTCAGGGCTGGTGGAGCCTGCTGCCGCGCTGGTCTTGTGTCTCAGGCCTCAGGCTAGTGACCCTTGCTCCTTAAGCCGCACCGTCCACTTCTCTAAAGGGGGGTATGAGAACATCCAAGTCACAGAAGGGAGTAGGGGTTAAATGAGATGTGCACAGTGCCTAATATGTGCATGTACATTTTTCTTCCAACCTTCCTACTGTGCACTTTTCTTCCAACCTTCCTACTGTGCACCCTACCACGGCCACAAGCCATCAGCCAAATAGATATCTGTCACTGAAGACAGGGTTTCATTAATTAATTTTTTAACAGCTCTATTGAGATATAATTTACATACCATAAAGTTCACCTGTTTAAAGTTTACAATTCAGTGGTTTTTAGTATTTCATAGAGTTGTGAAACCATCATCCTAATCTAATTTTAAAACATTTTGTCACCCCAAAAAGAAATCCTGTGCCTATTAGCAATCACTCCCTGTTCCCCTATTCCCAGCCCCAGGCAACCACTAAGCTACCTTCTGTCCCTGTAGATTTGCCTTTTTGAACTCCTTCATAAATAAAGTCATATGCTTTGTGGCCTGTTGTGACTGGCTTCTTTCACTGAGCATGATGATTCTGAGGTTCACCCACGTCATAGCTTGAATCAGTCCTTCATTCCTCAATGACTTTGTTTTCAAAGTGGATAGGAAGGATCACGGCCCTGAAACATCCTCTCCTCTTACGTAGGAAGGCCAGAAGGTTCTGAGGCCATTGGCCGATCCCCTTCTCACTAAGGAGGACTCCCTGATGACAAGTGCTTAAGTGGCTGCCGGTGTTTGGAAACTGTAGCCTAATGGGTGAGGAGCCCAAGAGACACTGTGGGCGGGGGTGGGTATTGGCAGAAGAAAGTGAAATAAACCAAAGCTGAAGAATAGGAAAGCAAAGCAGAGCAGCTGGGACCAGGACTTCACTTGGACCTCTCTTGGGGGCTGTCTCTAACTCCTGTTTGGCAGGGCAGTCTGATGGTCTGTAGTTAGAAGCCATTTCTGAACAGTAGGGTAGAGCGAGGGTCTCCACAGGGAGGTGAGCAGGATGCTCCGCTGGGTACACAGAGAGAATATTAGAACTTCAATCATTTTTTCTCTGCCTTTTAATTTATACTCCTGTACAAATTTTATAACGTGCATACCATTTAAGTACAGGGTCACATGACTTTAATTTGAAAATAAGTACACACATATTGGAAATGTTTGCACATATGCACAGGGGTGTGCCTTCCAAAACACTGGAGAAATGTTTTTAAAAATACAAGCGACCAGCCGGGTGCGGTGGCTCACGCCTGCAATCCCAGCTCTTAGGGAGACAGAGGTGGGAGGATAGCTTGAGCCCAGGAGTTCAAGACCTGCCTGGGCAATATAGCGAGACCTTGTTCTCCGCAAAAAGGAAAAAAAAAATACAACAACAAAAAAATACAAGTGACTGAGCACTAAAAACCCCAACAACTCCTAAGCTGTTTACACAGCACATGTTTTTCCTGTGGTTGCTATGAGACTGGTGAGTTCATTGATCCACTCAGGGATCCTTTTGGCCACAGTGCTGGGCACTTTGAGCCTCAGAGAACTGAACTTACTGCCCATGCTTGGCAGTTTAGAAGTGACATCTAGGATTCCCTTCAGGGGTTTGGCTTTCCTCCCTCCTTTAGGGTGTAGTCAGCACAGAGCATGGGAGTCCACGGGAGAGGTGCACACGAGACCCAGTGCAAACAGTGTTTGTCACCATGCAAACTACCGGCTTGACTCTGTTCCTGTTCCCTCCCCTCTGTCTCCCCAAGTCCTTTGGGGTTATAGACTGGCTTTCCGGACGTAACTCTCTGCATTTCCCTGAGGCTCCCCACTCGCCCTTGTCTCCCATCTGCAGGCTCCATGACGGTGGTGACAGTCAAGGCTGTGGCCGGGATGCTTGTCTTGTCCATTCAAGGGAACCTGCAGCTTGACTACCCCATCTTCTACGTGATGTTTGTGTGCATGGTGGCAACCGCCGTCTATCAGGCTGCGTGAGTTACAAATCCTTTTCCTGCTGGGCCCCACCATTCGGGCTGCTTCTCTTTTGGGGGCCTGATGACGTATGCCGTGAAGCTACAAGGAGGGCCGAACATGCCACAGGGCCTGGCATCCAGCGTGGAGAGAGGAGCTACTAATTTGCTGAGTTGTCACCTGGAGGGTCACTCAAAAGATGAAGCCAGGCCAGGCACAGTGACCCACGCCTGTAATCCCAGCTCTTTGGGAGGCTGAGGTGGGTGGGTCACTTGAGGCCAGGAGTTTGAGACTAGCCTGGCCAACATGGTAAAATCCTGTCTTTATTAAAAATACAAAAAAAAAAATTAGCTGGGCGTGGTGGCACATGCCTGTAGTCCTAGCTACTCAGGAAGCTGAGGCACAAGAATTAAAAAATAAAAAAGAAAGAAATATGAAGCCAGCAGTGGATGGGTTTTTCCCTGCTGCCTCAGAATGTGAAATTTTTGTTTGTTTTGAGATGGAGGCTCATTCTGTTGCCCAGGCTGGAGTGCAGTGGTGCCATCTCGGCTCACTGTAACCTCCGCCTCTGGGGTTCAAGTGAATCTCCTGCCTCAGCCTCCCAAGTAGCTGGGACTACAGGTGTGTGCCACCACACCCGGCTAATTTTTATATATTTTTAGTAGAGATGGGATTTCACGTTGTGGGCCAGGCTAGTCTCAAACTCCTAACCTCAAGTGATCTGCCCACCTTGGCCTCCCAAAGTACTGGGATTACAGGCATGAGCCACCACGCCTGGCCAGAATGTGAGAAATTTGTGGTTGGAGGCAGACTTAGTTCCCATCTTCTCTGGGGCAGGTGATCATCTCGGGGGCCTCGGAAGCATGGCCATCCCTAGGACGCACCTGCTTGTCTTCTGGGTTGGAAAGAAAAGTTGTCATTTCTTGCCTTCGATATATCACCTCCAAATCTTCCTGAGTGGAAGGCAAAGTACCCCCTCCTCTTCCTAAGCATGAAGTTAAATAAAAGGCAGCAGCCTGAGGACAGGGCCTGTCTTGTTTGCGTTTGAGTGCTGGAGCCCAACAGAGGGCCTGGGAAGAGGAGAGGCTCTAGGAATGTTGTAGGTGACAAAACCTGTGTAGGTACACAGGACTCACCAGCACATGAGGCTGATTCAGCCTGGAAAGCTCAGGCTCAGACCCAAGGTCCACCAGCTACATGGCCTCCAGGGACCATAGGAGCAGCTGCTGCTGGCCCAGTGTTTGGTGTGAGCCCAGCTCTTTTCTGAGTGCTTTATGGAACCAGCTCATTTGGTCCTTACAACACTCCTTTGACATAGAGGATATTATCCCCACTTTGCATATGAGGAACTGAGGCAGAGGGTAAGAGGCTAGGAAGTGGCAGAGCTGAGATCTGAACCCAGGAGTCTGGCTCCCCAGCCCATGCCCTCACCGCTCTGCTCTGCTGCTGCCTACTCAGCTTCTCCAAGACTCAGATTCTTCACCTGCTAATGAGAACAACAGTCCGTACTTAAGAGAATCACATGAAGCTCTTAGGAGAACAGAGAATGTCTCTAGGGAAATGCCCAGTAAACATGAGCTGCTTCTATGATTATTGGCCTTGCTATTGTTATTTTGGTTATTATTATTTTTGGTCCCACTACAACAATTGCAGTCATCACCAGGGAGCCCCTGCCAGTCCAAGGCCCTGCGCTGAGCACTCCAGGTGTCACAAACATGCCTCAGATGCCCCCGCCCACTCCTAAGGAGCTACTCATTCACTAACCAGTGCAGCCCACTGAGGGTGCTCAGCACCCAGGGACGGTGAGGGTAGTCACTCACTGCCCTCAGGCATTCACAGCCCTGGCTGGGGGACAGCCAGTGAACAAACTAGTACAGCCAAGCTGCATGCAGTGGCTCACACCTGTAATCCCAGCTACTCAGGAGGCTGAGGCAGGAGGAGCATTTGAGCCCAGTAGTGAGAGGCTGTGGTGAGCTATCACTGTGCCACTGCACTCCAGCCCAGGCCACAAAGCGAAGTAAAAAAATAAAAGCAATTGAGTGGTGAGCATGGTGTAAGCAACTATGCAGAGAAAGGGCAAAGAATATCTTCCAAAATTGGGGTATTTTTTATCATAGATGGAGTGATTAGGAAGGACCCTAATTTTCTCTTTTTCCTATATTTATTGCAGTGATCACATTTTCAAATTAAAAAGAAATTTTGTTGACAAAAATAATAACACTAGGCAGAACGTGATTAGGGCTGTAAGAGTTTCTGGGGGCAGGGGTATAAGAGATGTAGGAATGGCTCTTTTTAGTGGGGTGGGGATACAGGGGGGTGAGGAGAAGGGCATTTCAGGTGACAGGAACCATGCGGCCAAAGGTGTGAGACCATGATGGCATGGCTCAGTTGGGAAATGGGGATGGGCCTTAGCTGTGTGTCTAGGGGAAGAGTGGGAATCAAGCATGGACCCCAGACCAGGGATACACGGTGCCCTGTAACATGAGGGTGGCATTTTTAGAAACCCAAGGAACGTTCCTAAATGTATCATCTTCATATTTCAAACCAAACTCTACTGTTGTCAGCTCTTAGCCTTTCCAACATCTCCACAGCCCACTGACTGGAGTGCTTTTGTTTTGAAGGTTTTTGAGTCAAGCCTCACAGATGTACGACTCCTCTTTGATTGCCAGTGTGGGCTACATTCTGTCCACAACCATTGCTATCACAGCAGGTAAGGGTGGTCCATGGCTAGATTTCTGTCTTCTACTTTAGCAGCAGGGTATTATCCCAGGGTGGAGAGAGGCTGATTCTGCTGACTCGTTCTCCCCATAGAGTGGTGTATGGGTTCATGAAGAATGTGCAGGATTTCCAGACAGAGAGACCCAGGTTTGTATCCACACCTGCACAGACACACATCAGCTCTGCAAACATCACTTAACCTCTCTGAGCCTCAGCTCCACATTCATACAATGGGAGTGATAACACTTACCTCCGAGAATTCTAATAGGAATGATCCAAATGTGCCCTACGCCATACTGTGTGTACTTTCACAAGTTTTGCTATCTTCTAACTCCACAACCCCCACTGGCTAAGTGACCACACATCTCTTCTGTATAATTTTAGAGATCATGAATATGTATAGCATTGCAACATCATTGATGCTCAATAAGTGATCATTAGCATTACAGCCCCCTTTTCCTCTATTTCACCTCTAATTTTTTTTTCATTTTCTTTCTGTAGTGGTCTTAGAGGCTGCAATCATATAAAGCTGTTTGTTTGTTTAAATGGCACAATAGGTAACTAAAATCTTCAGAGTAAAAAATCCAGTAAGAACTAAGTGCTTTCCTTTGATGAAAGCCTGGCTGTAAAGCCCTATGCTCTGCGCAGCACTTAAGACAAGTGGTGCCGCCATTCCTGTCTACACAGGAGGAACACACAAGGCACACAGCTTCCAGGGCTCATGCTGTGAGCAGCACCAGGGGCCATGAGGCATTGACCCAGAGCAGCCAGAAGCCATAAGCTAAGTCATGGTCAAGAAGCTTGGTCAAGAAGCGCGAAGTCCAGTCAAGGTTGAAAGGAATCACAAACACCATGGTTGAGTGAGAACACAAGTCAAGGCAGGGAATCAGGGGCTCAGGAATACAGCTGGAGGCCTGTGTGGGTGAGATGATTCCAGACAAAGGCTGGCTCAGGGCAGAGGCAGTAGGCCCACCCCACGCCCATACCACAGGAGTAGACCCACAGACTTGGCATCTACTGGCCATACGAGGTTAGAAAGCTCTAACAACATAAGCACAAAGCCTTGTTTATCCATCTTAAGAAAGATGGAGGGGAGACGATTGCAGGCACAAACTGGTAACTAGGGTCTGTGGTTTAGTTAGTAAGTGTTGATTGTCGTTTTCCTGCTTTGATTATGCACTGTGGTTATGGAAGACATGACTGGGGAAAGCTGGAGGAAGAGTGCATGGGGACTCTACACCATTTTTGTGAGTCTAATATTATCCCCCAATGTAAGTTAAGAAACATGGAGATCAGAGGGGCCTAAGGTGGAAAAAAGTTGACAACCTGATCCCCTAAATGGCTTTTATTCCATTCTTCTTGTAAGGCACAGTCATAATAAGTTTTGATCGTTTTGGTTTCCTAAAGGGAAGAGAGCTTAGCCAAATCCTAGACAGACTTGCAGATGGGTGACTTGAAAACAGCTCAGCGGTATTTTCTATGATTTGCTGCTGCAGGTGCAATATTTTACCTGGACTTCATCGGGGAGGATGTGCTGCACATCTGCATGTTTGCACTGGGGTGAGTCCTGTCCTGCTTGCCGGCCGCAAGATGTTGTGTGTAGAATTCCAAGCAGGTTGCCCCGCTCTCTATTGCTCTCTTATTGCTACAGCTGCCCCATCCTTTAGAGTCAGAGGAGCTGTGGGGTTTGGGAGCTTTCTCCCCAGAGGTGAGCATTTTCTTCCTCTAAGGGCTTTATCTTCCCCTTTCTTCTCTTTTGGACTCTAATCTCTTTGGCATTTCTCAAATATCACATTTTGACACATGAAAAGTCTCTCAACCTCACCTCGGATCTAAGAAATGCATATTGAAGCCACATGAGATACCATCCTTTTGCAAAAACTAACAGGATTAATATTCCACATTGGCAAGAGGATGAGGAGGCCAGCCCACTACCACACTGTTAGCATACTTTAATGTGGGAGGAAAATTTAACAACAGCAACAAAAATCCAAACAAGCATACTTTTTGATACAGTATTCCATTCTAATCATTTATCTTGGAAAAAATGCTTCAACAGGGATGCAAAGACACATGTATGGGGCTATTTATTAATTTTTAAATTAGTTGTATAAGCAAACAATTGAAAATAATAGAGGCCGGGCGTGGTGGCTCAAGCCTGTAATCCCAGCACTTTGGGAGGCCGAGACGGGCGGATCACGAGGTCAGGAGATCAAGACCATCCTGGCTAACACGGTGAAACCCCGTCTCTACTAAAAAATACAAAAAACTAGCCAGGCGAGGTGGTGGGCGCCTGTAGTCCCAGCTACACAGGAGGCTGAGGCAGGAGAATGGTGTAAACCCGGGAGGCGGAGCTTGCAGTGAGCTGAGATCCGGCCACTGCACTCCAGCCTGGGCAACAGAGCGAAACTCCGTCTCAAAAAAAGAAAATAATAGAAATGCTCAGCAGTAGAATACAGGTGTTAAAAAAATTATGCCATATCTAGATAATAGCGTGCCATGCTGCCATTTTGAAAACTTGAGGCCAGTCCATAGGTGCTGACACAGAAAAAAATTAGCCAGGTATGGTAGCAGGCACCTGTAATCCTAGCTACTCGGGAGGCTGAGGCAGGAGGAGCACTTGAACCTGGGAGGCAGAGGTAGCGTGGGCTGAGATCGTGCCACTGGACTTCAACCTAGGCAACAGAGTGAGACTCTATCTCAAAAAGAGATCAAAATAAAAAATAAAAAAAGAAGGTGAATCTTAACATTTTATCAAATGAAAGGAACCAGACATAAAAGAGTACATAGTGTATGATTTAACTTACATGAATTAAAGAACAGACTAATTTCATCCATGGTGAGAGAAGTCAGGATAGTGGGGAAGGGCTGGCATGAAATGGAAAGGGGCCCAGGAAAACTTTCTGAGGGGGATGGAAGTATTTTCTGTCTTGACCTGGGTGATGATTCCACAAGTAAAATCCATTCATCTAGACATCTAGGGTTGGTGCATTTTGCTGCTTGTAAATGATACCTTAATGTTTAGAAAGTATGCTTGTTTATGTAAGCTATAGGAAAAAGGGAAAAAACAAAGCAAAACAAAAAATAACCTGGAAGGCTATACCCCTGCCTGGCCGAGTGAGACCAAGAGTACACGGACGCTCCAATTTTTGTTGATTTTTACTATCTATACTTCAGTAGTGATTGAAACGAATGACTTCAATTAAAAAAAAAAACAAGTTTTAAAAGGCAAGGTTCCGAGAATCCTGATTAAATGGAAGTGAAGAGCCATGAGAAGCTCGCCCAGGAGAGTCTAATTTATTCTGATTACAGCTCATGGAGAGTGTAGGGCATGTGAGGCCACTCCAGCTATTGTTATTCAACTTGCATCTGCCCCTGCTGATCCCAGGCTGGCAGCCTCTCAGGGCTCCTTGGGCGGTGAGCCTTCCTCCGCAGCCTGCAAGCCTTTTTACCTCTTTCGCATCACCTGAGCCTGAAAGTGTGTCCCTCCCTGACCTTGCTCCTGGCCTTATTTCTCTTCCTGTCTTATCTCCATTCCTCAGGTGCCTCATCGCGTTCCTGGGCGTCTTCTTAATCACGCGTAACAGGAAGAAGGCCATTCCATTTGAGCCCTATATTTCCATGGATGCCATGCCAGGTAAGGTTAAAGCCCCGTGGGTCTAGCTGACCATCCATGTAGAATGACTGCACTTCCTGTTTAAAAAGAGACAACCAACCGCTGTGCTGTGCCTTTATCGTGTGACTGTTCTCTCACTGTCTTTTTTCTTTTCTTTTTTTTTTTAATCTTGTGCAAAAGGGTAGGCAACGGCTGAGGCACCTCAGTTGGTTTTGAGCACATCTTGCCAGTTCCGTGTCTATTTGGGGATCTTTTAAAGAAAATTCTGATTCATACTCATTATAATTAGGATCTGCAGCCCCAGGCTTCATGCCTGCAAATGGAAAAATCCATTCATCTAGTTGGAATGAAATGATCAGAGAGGGGAAGGAAAATGAGTGGAATGAAATTAAAATATTATAATCTCACTCGCTGGATGCCACAAGGGAGTAGATCATTCTGGAAAGCCTAATTTCATAGCGAGCTAAGGATTCATACTGAGAAACACGAATGTAAATGCCTGTAAGCCCTGACAGTAACATAAACATGTGAATCAGCCAAATACTGCCCAGCAGGGAGTGGTGGGACCTGTGGAGGACTGGAGAGTGCCTGTCTAGCCTAAAGGAATTAAGATTAGAAAAGTTAAGACATTGGACCAACCTCAGATTTGCTGACCTAAACTCTGTAGGTTGCTGGTGACCATTAGCTTTCGCACTTAACTCAACATTTTAATTTTATTTATACAAGATGGAACTGTCTCTAAAACATAATCTCCTGTCCTTCATTAACACAATCTCATGAACAAAATATAAACACATTGATGGTCTAGAGGACTGCTTACTCAAGAGGTTTTCATGCTGTAACCCTGTGATGCAGGTGTGTTCTCAGGGCTGACTGGTGTGCCCCTACATTAAATGGCCCCAGGGTTTATGTGTGTACTTTTTATATTAGTTCCTCCTCTCTTGTTATTAAGCTGTTGTCTGTCCTTCTTGCTGTAGCCAGCCTGCCTGAGTATAGCAACTCAATGTCAATGCGCTCCTTCAGCCCAACTTGTTCAAATTACAAATAAAATCAAAATGAAGGAGCTCTGAGTTGGGGGCCTAAGATTTCTACTAGGAGTTAAGTGCATGAGCTTTGGTGCATGAACATTTTAAACGTCTAATCTGGCTGCTCAGATTCCTTTTTTGCTAACTTCCTTGTTTCTCGGCTGTGTTCCGGATAGATGAGGGCGCTGGATAGCTGAATTCCAGATAGGTGAGGTGTCAACTCTGTGTGTGCAAGTATGTGTATGTATACGTGTGTTTGTGTGTTTATAAACTATGTATGTGTATATATCAATATCAGTATTTGTGTGTGTATATATATAGATAGATAGATAGATGTATTTTCTGGTGGAAAACAGAAGGTAACCTAAGGTAATCTTAGATATCAACATTCTGTGGTCTGTTTGTGGGTGTGGCTCTCAGCTTTTTCTTTGTACCTTGCGACCAGTGGGAAGTCAGCTGTTGAATCAGGGAGACCCTGCCCTTGCAGTGGCTTGTCAGGACACTTCCGATTGTAGGTGTTCTGTCCTGTGAAGAGCGTGGGCTTGGAGTTCAGATGACCTGGATTCAAATCCCAGCTCTACCAGCTTCCTGCTGTGTGACCTCCCAAGGCCTCTCATCCTCACTTGTAACTGGGATTCCTTCTTTCAGGCTAGTGGTCATATGTGTAAAGGCCTCTTGCACGGTGTCTGGGACATGGTAGATGCCTGGTTACATTTGGTTTCACTTCCCTTTTGCTTTAAAAACCTTTGAAAGTTTCACACATTTGTTTGACCTGGTGGCAGGTAGAACATGCAGAATAAAACTGCTGAACAGTCTCAGCCTAAACAGAGGTGCTTTTCCAGCCACTTGGTTTCCCTGGTCAGCATTAGGACCTTGCCTTTTGTCTACCTAGATTCGTATCTTCACAACAGACAACTGCTGTTCAAGAGGTATTCCAATTCCAGAAATGTACCACGTCACTATTTGGAGAGCCTTTGAGTAATTCATGCACCGAAAGACTTCTTAAAAATGAGAACGAGAAATAGCCCCTGACCTCCAGGAGCTGGCCTGGCACTCTCAGCCGGACCTTGGCCCTCTCCTGTTGAGCAGAAACAATGTCACAGAACATCAACAGCAAGCAAGGCCACTCTGCAGCTGTGACAGATCAGGACACAAGCAGGTGGAATGGGAAGAAAAGGTTTTTTTTCCTAAAGTTAAAAATAAATAAATAAATAAATGAAAGAACACAAACAGGACTACTCTGCTATCCTGTCTAAACACAGACAAAAAATGGACATTGTCCAAATCATGAAAAATACCAAACATCCCTCTTACCTGGCTGTGAGAGACAGCCACTTCTTTACCAGTCACAGCTTTAGCTCCAATCTAGTCATCTTCTAGATAAAAACTAAGATCCCCAATGATGGAATTAGCCCTGCTTCCTGACAGCATCCAACCCAAAGCAAAGCCTCACTTCCTTGAACCCACCCCAAAATCACCTAGCCCAAGCCAACCCCACAATAACTCCTTTCTAACCCCCTCCACCTCTCACATTGCAATGTGTCAATAGAGCCACATTTGTTAGACTGGAGGTGTATTCCTGTTGGTCTTTGGCTGGAGGGCATTGACAAAATCCAAAAGGTAAACCAGGCCTGTTAAGCCAACTCTCTTGCCTGAGGACAGGCACCTCCTCAGCTCTTCCACTTCCCTCTTCTGCCCTCCCCCAAAATCCAAACCACAGACTCTTAAACTGTGCCCTTCAAAGAACCATCAGTTAAGTCTTACACAATAGGGAGCCGAAGGGCCTTTCACGGACTGGGTCTTCCCCGGCCGTTTGCAGAGTGGATAAGAGCACAGGCTCTGGTGGCAGATCCCACCTCGGTCTCTCATTAGCTGTGTGACCCTGGGCAAGTTACTTCACCTCTCTGAATCTCTTTCCAGAATATGAGGACAGTAGTTCATCTCTGTCATTGGATTGTTTGGAGATTAAGTGCAGGTACATAGGGAAGCCACACAGCATTCAGTTAAGAGTATGGACTTCTGAGTTGAAAGCCCCGAGTTTGGACCCTGGCACTGCCTCTTACTAGCTGTGTGATCTCAGGCAAATTACGTGCGTCATTTCTGCTGCTTCGTTTTCCTTATCAGTCATCCTGAGGATCAAATGAGATAGAACTTTGTAACTATTTGGAACAGTATCTGCCACCAATTAAATACTCAATACACATAACCATTGTCATTGCTATTGTTGTTACCGTTACTATTTAAAGTGCTTAGCCCAGTCGGGTGTCATAGCTCACACGTGTAATCCCAGCTATGGGAGACTGAGGCAGGAGGATCATTTGAGCCCCAGGTGTTCAAGACTAGCCTGGAAAACATAGACTCTGCCTTTAAAAAGAAAGTCCTTTAGCCCAGTGCTCAGGGCATATTAAATAGTTAGATGTCAGCTGTTATTATCATCATAGTTTCATTGCATTCAATTTCTTATGACTCAGCCTGAAGGCAGAATTTGAAGAGTCTTAATTCCCTGGCAGGAAAAGTTGGCCTCAAAAGTAACCGGCCTGGCGAAACGGCTCACACCTGTAATCCCAACACTTTGGGAGGTGGGGCAGGTGGATCACTTCAGCCCAAAAGTTTGAGACCAGCCTGGGCAACATGGTGAAACCCCATCTCTACCAAAACAACACAAAAATTAGCTGGACATGGTGGCATGCACCTGTAGCACCAGCCACTCGGGAGGGAAGCTGATATGGGAGGATCGTTTGAGCCCCAGAGGTTGAGGCAGCAGTGAGCCAAGATCGTTCCACTGCACTCCAGCCTGAGCGACAGAGCAAGACCCTGTCTCAATAAATAAATAAATGAACAAACAAACAAAACACATCCCTCCTGACCTGACTAGGGGAATTGTAGGACAAAGATAAAGGAATTAAAGATTAAAGGCTTTGCCCTCAAATGAAAATAGGAATCCCTTGTCAAAGTACCCAGAAGTAATAATAAGCAAATCTCACCTTCCCCTATATGTGTAGCAGGGACTTTAAAGTTAAAGGCCAAGATGCTCCCTCTGGGCATCATGATGCATCTGTCACCTTCAGGTGCCCATGCACAAAAATTACTCTCTTTCCTCGACAGTGTAACAGAGTTTCCTGGATCCTGATTTAATTCAACAGTGAAGCGTTGGCATCTACCATGTTCAAAGCACAGTGCTAGTTCCATTCCACCTGGGGCCCACACCAACATTCCCACCTCACTTTAGGCCAACTGAGGGTTCCTCCTGACAGCAGCTGGTCTGTGTGCATATTTCCTGAAGATTCATCTCTTGTTGCTTAGCAACCGTAATAGTTCCAGTGTGTATTTGTGGGTGTTCTCTTTTAAATCTAAAGCATTCGGGAAATTGACAATGCACATGATTAGCTGCTGAGCACTATAATTAGTCTGTGGCAGGATAGAGGGAGATGCGGCCTCCTTGGCCCCCTTACCACGTAATGATTTGGGGAAAATGGATTTCATTTCAGGTATGCAGAACATGCACGATAAAGGGATGACTGTCCAGCCTGACCTCAAAGCTTCTTTTTCCTATGGGGCTCTGGAAAACAATGACAACATTTCTGAGATCTACGCTCCTGCCACACTGCCAGTCATGCAAGAAGAGCACGGCTCCAGAAGTGCCTCTGGGGTCCCCTACCGAGTCCTAGAGCACACCAAGAAGGAATGAGACTCGCCTCCCTCTATTTATAACTGTCCCCACCAGGCTGACAGCGGTTCAACCCTGAATCCTAAAACTTGCCTTTCAAGTCTCATTTTGTTTTTAACTGAGAACGCTATGGATGATGATCTCAGAAAGCCTTTGTCCCTGGGAAAGGATACGTTATCTTGGTCTTGGAAATTTCAGATGATGAGGGTGGGGGGATGGAAGCATTATTCCAGGTGGGCAGGATAGAATCCAGCTTCTGCCTGGATTAGCCCAGCAGGATTTGGAAAGCCTTTCTACCATCCTTGAGGATGGTAACTGAGCTTCCTCCGACAGTGACCAAAGGTTGCTGTATCCTTCAGAGCTAAGACAAGACGGAGAGTCTGCTGTTAATTCTCAAATCCAGCGAAAGGCTGGACACCTCTAAATCTCGTCTTCCTCCACCTCACGTGCATGCCTGATCTCTCCCCAACACTCCTGGTGCCGTATCTGTGATAGCACTTGTGCTGCCTTCACATGGCAGGCTGGGCCAACCCTGGGTGGAAGGTTCTGCCATTTGTGTTTCAGAAATGTACATCTGCCTTCCAGTCATCTGTGCCCTTCTAGGGAAGATGTGCTTGATATGTTCAAATTGGATCTACTCTGAAAACGAATTTGATTTTGGTCCTGTGAGGACTACTTGTTTGTCTGCCTCCTGCCCCCAAAGGAATTAGGAAGTTAGGAGAAGGGGAAGACTAAGGAGGCTAGGAGAGGGTGATGATGCTTCAGCCCATTAAGGAAGAAAAGTCCCCCTTACTCTTACAAAAGGTGATTTCACCACTTAAAAAGGGATAGGTAGAAAATCTGGCCATCTTATGTGTTATTTTTTCCTGCATACCAGTGCCCCCTGGAAAGGTGGGGATGCTCATTTCAGAGACAGCCTCTTCACCTGTCCTCCGTCTCTCCATTACAGAGCCACAAGCCAAGCTCAAGTTACTGGTGAATTTCCTTGAAGTCAATAGAGACTCTCTGGGTCCTCATCCCCACGCATGTATGTCTGGGAGAAGCAAGCGTTCTCAAAAACAGGGCTGTTGCTTTCTTCCTGGCTGCCTATGTGACTGTCTTCCCCTAGACTGATGGTGTACTTTGAGAGGCGCAGAGAAAGGTTTGCAGACTTTAGTGGGCATAAGGATCCCCTAGAAGTGTGTGTAAAATGCAGATTCCTGCACCCCAACTGCAGACACTCTTAAGTGGGACTGGAGTGGGGCCCAGGGGTCTGCATTCTTAACTGGTACCACCAGTGATTCTGCTACAATGCCACAATCCTGAGAGTTCACACCTGGAAAGCTTAAGAATTTAAAAAGATGTTCTGCTAAAACCCCCAGGGCCCCATGCAACCTTGCCAGGAAGTTTCCTCCCTAGGGTTCCTTTGGAAGGTTAAATAATCCCCATAGGATCTGTGGCATTCTCCATCCAGTGAATACTACTTAGAGCTACACTCACCACTTCCCTAGACAGCCTTTAATAGGCATGATAACAGTGTTAATAGACCAGTGTGACAGATCACTTACCTTTGTGGATTGTGCTTAATACTGATTTAGTACTGATTTAATACCTTGACTTCAAAAACTGACATCTGTTGTCTGTGATAACCACTTCTGTATTGTGTCTTAACCACTTCTGTATTGTGTGGTCTTAACTACCTAAGGCAGCAGCGGGCAGTGGACTCCCTTCCCTTAGGATGGGGATCAACTCAATTCAACAAGATTTATAAGGCATTTACTGTGTGCTAAGCATTTGGAAGACCCAAGCTACAAAGATAAGACATAGTTCCTGCCCTCCAGGCCAGCAGAGAGAGGCACAAATACCCAGGAATCTCTGATGGGTGTGAAGTGCGGTCGTGGGCCACAGAAAATGACCATCATGGAGACCCTGTCAAAGTTCGGACCCTGAGCCCAAAGGGGTATTCACAAGTGGAGATAATTTTGGTCCCACTCATAGATGGGTGGCAAATCTAAGATTTGTATAAAGCATATGAAAGTAGGGTGATCACCCCCGAGGCAGGGGGGCCAGCATTTGCAAAGGCACAGAGATAAGAGGAGCAGGGCAAAGAAAGGAGAGCCAGGGAAGGTGGTGGGAGACGAATCTCAAAGCTAAGTAGTGGAAGCTGTGCACAGTGGCTCACGCCTGTAATCCCAGCACTTTGGGAGGCCAAGGCTGGAGGATCACTTGAGCCCAGGAGTTTTATATCAGCCTGGGCAACATAGCAAGACCTTATCTCTGCTAAAAATTAAAAAAAAAAAATTAGTTGGGTGTGGTGGGGCATGCCTGTGATCCCAGCTACTCAGGAGGCTGAGGTGGGAGGATTGCTAGAGCCCAGGAAGCCAAGGGTACAGTGAGCCATGATCATGCTGCTGCACTCCAACCTGGGTGACAATGAGACCATGTCTCAAAAAAAAAGGATAAGCAGTGGAGACCGAATCATGGAAAGTCTTGAATACCTGGCTAAGGAGTTTAAAGTGTATCCAAGAGGACATGGGAGCCATTGATGGTTCATGAGGAAGAGAAGGGCAGGATCAGCCCTGATGGAAAAGGAGGGCTTGTTCAGTGTGGAGGAAGAATCAGAAGGGGGAATGAGTTACCTTCTCCGAGCCCACAAGAACAAAAAACAAAAAGCAGAAATTAAAATCAGGTTTCACTGCTATTTGTGTATTCCTCCTTTCCCAAATGATTTTTCTAAAGCTGGGAGTGGGGGCAGGAGGGAGAAAGAGAAGGTGAGCAGGGAGGCTATTTCAATGTGTCAAACCCAGGTGATCAGTAATAATTTGGGCATATATACGCTCCCAAACTTGCTCTGCCCCCCTCCTTCCCTTGCTTTTGGTATGGGCCTTTTAGCCTTGGGCCAGCCGGCTTTCTTGAGATGAGTAAATAAAGTGCACTGTAATTTCAGGTCGGCTGTGGATCATGGGATCCTGCAGATCCAGGAACTGCTGCTGAGGCCTGGGAAGCTCCCTTGCCTGAGGGTTTGGGGCAGTGGCGTCATCCCACCAAGCTGAGCCTTGAAAGGGCCGAGCAGAAAGTTAAATGGTGGTTTCCTGAGTGGAAGCCACGCGTAGGTCACTTGAGTAGTCAGGAAGCACAGCTGATGTGAAGGCTAGTTCCTCCCTATCGTTGTCCCGTGGTCTAAATGGACTGTCTGCTGATGGCCATATGCAGCACTGGCTGTTAGGATGGGGAAGGGGTGCATCAGGTTTCCACTCATAGCCCTGGTTCGTTATTGTTACTCACGGCTCTGACGTCCCCAAGTCTTCTTGAATGTTGCAAGCAATGTTAAATATCACACCTCGGTCTCCTTCCAAGCAGCCCAGGTCCCTAAAGCAAGGTCACCAAACTTGGGTTAAACTTCAGTTGCTGTCACATCAAGGTTCAGGTTATACAGATCTTGTAGTGTGGAGCTGAATTCTGGGTAGAGAAGGGAGAGCTGACTCTCCATTGCTTTTCTAGTGGAAACCAGCCAGTTTGACGGCGCTGCGCGGGTACAGGACTCCATCAGGCTAGTGTTGGGGAACCAGCCCGGCATGTTCCGACACTGGCTGATGGGCAGACAAAAGGTTACTTGTGTGTTTCTCTGAGAAGCGGTGTAAATGAAGTCACCTTAGAATATATTCTGTGCGGATGCTTATATTTTGTTAACTTCACGACTTATGGCATGTCTTATTTTTCAAAAAAAAAAAGTACTAGGTGTGAATAACATTATGAAGTGGTATTTAATTAAAAATCCATGCAGTGACAGCTGAGTTCGTGTCTTATGTTTGGCTAATACTTCCTAGAATTATCTAGAACAGACTGTCTAGTAGAACTTTCTGTGATGACAGAAGTGTTCTGTGTCTGTGCTGCCCAACATGGTAGCCACTCTCGACATGTGGCTGTAGAATACTTTAAATGTGGCTAGTGCAACCAAGGAACTGAATGTTTAATTTCATCTAATTACATTTCCATATAGCTCATACATTAACAGTACAGATCTAGAGATGCCCATAATTGCAGTTGAGGCTCACTTGCACTTCCCCTGCAACCCCGCAACCCTCACCGTGGTTAAAACTACAGACTCTCGGCTGGGCACAATGGCTCATGCCTGTAATCCTAGCACTTCGGGAGGCTGAGGCGGGCAGACCACCTGAGGTCGGGAGTTCAAGACCAGCCTGACCAACATGGAGAAACCCCGTCTCTACTAAAAATATAAAATTGGCGGGGCATGGTGGCACATGCCTATAATTCCGGCTACTCAGGAGGCTGAGGCAAGGAGAGTCCCTTGAACCTGGGAGGTGGAGGTTGCGGTAAGCCAAGATTGCACCATTGCACTCCAGCCTGGGCAACAAGAATGAACAAGAATGAAACTCCATCTCAAAAGAAAAAAAAAAAAAACGCACAGACTCTCTGTGTACACTGCTTGGGTTTGATTCCTGGCTCTCTCACTTGTTAGCTGTGTAGCATTGGGCAAGTTACTTAACCTCTCTGTGCCTCATCTGTGAAACAGGAATAACAGCATTATTAACGATTGTTTTAGGATTGGATGGATTAATAGATGTAAAGTCTTGGAACTATATTGAGCATCCCATCAAGGCATTGTATTATATTGAAAGAATGGGGTTTTTTCCTCTTTATTCTTTTTTAAATTATATAATGAACACTTTTGATCTTAAGTATTTCCAAGCACGTATGTCTCTTCATTCTGAGTTTCCAATTTACAAAGGCAGGTATAGTATGGTACCTATATATTTATTGGTATAATCACAAAAATACAGAGTCATACAGACATATATTAAGCACTTACTGTATGCCAAATGATATATTAAGACCTCATATTTACATCTCATTTCTCCTTTATAGCAGTTCCACAAGGTAAATTTTAATCATATCCTTTTATGATGAAGAAACTGAGACTGGCTGGGCATGGTGGCTCATGCCTGTAGTGCCAACACTTTGGGAGACCAAGGTAGGAGAATCACTTGAGCTCAGCAGTTTGAGACCAGCACAACATAGCAAGACCCCGTCTCTACTTAAAAATAATAATAATAATAATAATAAAAATTAGCAGGCATGGTGGTGTGCACCTATAGTCCCAGCTACTCAGGAGGCTGAGGTGAGAGGATTGCTTGATCCCAGGAGACTGAGGCTGCAGTGAGCCATGATTGTACCTCTGCACTCCAGCCTGGGCCACACAGCAAGACCCTATCTCAAAAAGAAAAGAAATTGAGACTCAGGTCTCAGAGCTGGTGAACAGCAGAGCCAGTATTTGAACCCAGGACTGCCTGACTCCAGAACCTGAGCTCTTCCCTCTACTGTGCTGCCTTTCCTGCTGTGGGCAAGTGGGATTTTAGTGGGAGTAAGGTCTGCCATGGGTTAGGACATCACCTCTGGCCCAGTTTCAAGGGAAGGTGTGAACTTGAAGGACAGAAGCTCATTAGCTGAGTCTCTGGGGACCACGTTTGCAATGGTTCCACCTGCTAGCCAGATGAGTGAATAAAATTCAGTCTATCAGCCAGGCGCAGGGGCTCACGCCTGTAATCCCAGCACTTTGGGAGGCCGAGGCAGGCAGATCACAAGATCAAGAGATCGAGATCATCCTGGCTAACACAGTGAAACCCCGTCTCTACTAAATTTACAAAAATTATCTGGGCGTGGTGGTGCACGCCTGTAGTCCCAGCTACTTGGGAGGCTGAGGCAGGAGAACCGCTTGAACCCGGGAGGCAGAGGTTGCAGTGAGCCAAGATTGAGCCACTGCACTCCAGCCTGGGTGACAGAGCAAGGCTCCATCTCAAAAAAAAAAAAAAAAAATTCAGTCTGTCACAGAGCTGGAGGGAATTTTAGAATCATCCACAACTCTCAGACTTTATTTCATGAAATAGTACAATTTTAAAATAAAGATTGACAAAGAGTTACTTTTTATAGTTAATCTTGTTCTCATTAATTTTTTGCTGCTTATTCAGTTGTTATTTTTATTAGATTTTACTTTCTGGTTTCCTGAAATAATAAAGTATTGAGATTGATATTGGCAAAAGGTTATGTCGTTAATTTTGTTCTCATTAATTTTTTTGTTTATTCAGTTAGTTTATATTTTACTTTTTGGTTTCATGAAATAAAAATTTTTAAGTAAATAGAGATTGGCAAAAGGGTACTAACTCTTTCTGTAGCTAATCTTGTTCTCTTTAATATTTCTTATTAGTTTCACTACAAAATCAGTTTTCTTTGTTCAAACAAACAGTAAAAAGGGAAACAAAGTCCAAGGCTTGCTTAAGAAAAAGATGATGTTTGGTGCAGCAGCACCGTGTTCTGTCATGACCTTATTAAATGTCAAAATGCACCAAGCAGAATATTAAAATTAAATTTTAAAGCAAATGCAAGCCAAGAAACAAACATTTTCCCATTGTGATGCCGTAAGGTATTCAGGTAGGAGCATAGTTCTGTGAAAGCTGCCCAAGTGTAAAGAGAGAAGATTCACATGGCAGCGAGCGCATTGCTTTTTGCCTTCTCCAGCTTATACTGAAATGTGAGGCACTCTGGATGGAAACTTTGATGCACTTAATTCTCAGGATGACTTTTTAAGAAGTTAAAAGACACAAAAAACCCAGAAAGCCCTATCTTTAACTCTCCTGTTTGTCTTTTAAACAACATCAGAAATACAGCGGTTGTCCCTACACTCTGATCTTAACAAAGCTCAGCTGTGTAGGTGTCCTGGGATGATATAGGAAACTAGATAGCAATCTCTTATATTGTCTTATAATTATGAAAATATCTTCTATCAAAATTGTCAAGTCACAAATGTCTCTTCATATGAGTGAGACTAAGCATCTTTGCATATGTTCATGTTCATGTACTTTTTTTTTTTTTTCCTGAGACGGAGTTTTGTTCTTGTCGCCCAGGCTGGAGTACAATGGTGTGATCTTGGCTCACTGCAACCTCCGCCTCTCAAGTTCAAGCGATTCTCCTGCCTCAGCCTCCCGAGTAGCTGGGATTACAGGTGTGCACCACCATGCCTGGCTAATTTTTGTATTTTTAGTAAAGACGGGGTTTCACCATGTTGGTCAGGCTGGTCTCAAACTCCTAACCTCAGATGATCTACCCGCCCTGGCCTCCCAAAGTGCAGAGATTACAGGCATGAGCCACCACGCCCGGCCACTATTTGTTGTGTTTTTTTTTTTTTTTTTTTGTAAATTGTCCATATGCTTTGCTCACCATTCTGTGGTTGTTTCGGTTTCTTATTGATTTGAAAGTGCTCTTTGGTATCAATTAACCTTTTCTTTGTGATAACACCTACAATTATTTCCCCCCAGTTTGTTACTTGCCATTTGATTTGCTTGTAGTATTTATTTTTACTATGAACAGACTTTTTCTTCTGTGTTTTTTGTTTTACATATAATTATTTCTATATAAATGTTATTTACTTATATAAATATTTGCATTACATAATTGAATGTCTTTTCTTTTATAGCTTCTGGATTTTGAATCATAGTTTGAAAGGTCTAACTTATTCCAAGATTATAAAAGAATTCCCCATGTCATCTTTGAGTCTTTTTAGGGTTTTTTTGTTGTTATTGTTGTTGTTGTTTTTAAATATTGGACTTACTAGACAATAGTCTGGTTGTGTGTTTACATCTGAAAGCCACTTGGAGTTTATTCTGGTGCACAGTTCAAGGTATGGATCCAACTTTATTCTGCTGAGATAGCTACCAAGCTAGGCCAATACCATTTATGGAATAGTCCAGCTGTGCCCTAAAGAATTGGATGCCACTTCTATAATACACTAAATATCTGTTTTTGGGACTTGCCATTCTGTTCCATTGGTCTGCCTGTACATTCACCAGTAATACTGTGTCAATTATCGAGGCTTTCCAATATGTTTTCAAATCTGTTTGGACAAGTCTCAGCTCCTTGCTCTTGTTCAAACTTATGTTGTCAAATCAGAATATAGAAAGGAAAAAAAAAATACTCTACTATCCTGTCATTTCATTTAAAAAAGACATTAACACCAAAACAGTAAGAACAGCAAAATCCCAGATAGTAATCCTTTAAACAGAATAATTTAGCTTTATGAAAAATGTCAGACATTGTCATTATTTGCCTGTTTTGCTGCAGGCCGATAAGATGAGAGCAGCATTGCAGAGCCACGCTTGGTCTTGGTACCGGTGTAAGGAGAGGGAGGGCCACAAAGAGGATGTCACTGGCTAGTCAGTTGCAGGCACAGAACTTGAACTCAGGTCTTATGATCTCTGGTCTTTTCCTCTTAACACCTCCTATATCCTAGGTCCACTACCCTTTACTGAGCTTTCATTCTGGGCAGGCACTTTACATGCATTATGCATTTCCTTCTCACAACAGCCCCACGAGGAAGCTGTTCAACCCCTGTTATATGATACACATGTGGAAACGAAGGTTCAGGGAAGTTCAGTAATTTGCCCAGGGCCACCTGGTGGGTAAGTGGAAGAGCCTGGATTCAAACCTACATATGACTGACTTCAAAGTCTGTATTTTAAAAAATTTTTCAGTCCATTATATATCAATAGACAATTATTCTAAATTCTTTATTTTTATTTATTTTTTGCACAGAATGAAACTTCCTTAGGTTCTGAGTAGCACGACAGCTATTAGCTTGTCAATCTTCATAAACTCCCTGGGCCGGGCCATCTGTCCTTTCGTTGATATACCTAGTGTATCATGTCTTTTACTTTTTTCTTTTTCTTTTCTTTTCTTTTCTTTTATTTTTTATGAGACGGAGTTTCGCTCTTGTTG